GTGTGAAAAAAAAGGGAAGGAAGGGCCCCTATTTATAGAAAATGAAAGCTATTGGATTTGTGCCAAGTGGCAAAATTCAGTGAAGAGAGAGAAAAAAAGATGTTTGGCATAAAAAAATAGAGGAGGAAAACTTCTCCACCGGTAGTATCGTTAGGAGCAGCGACATGCCGACCTAGGTGGGCAGCAGTACACTGCCCGTGGCGGTAGTGGCCTCACCTGCCCGACGCACTGCAGGGCTAGCCTGCAAGCACATGGGCTACCCTGCCGCGTGTGCATGGCCTAGGTGCAATGGGCACCACGCGCGCTTGCCTACTATATGCAAGGCCCAGGCCTGTAGGGGCCTATCTGCGCAGTCTTACTCCGCATACGGCACAAGTACAGTGTTCCGCGCCTGTCCATGTGCGAAGTGACTTGTGGACGACCCACCTACGCACGAGAAGATGCTCGCAGGATTGACTTCGTGCCACTCGTGAAGAAAGGACGTGCGCACCGACGCCTACTGCCTGTGTGACTGTACATGCAACCCTTTCCCGTGGGATTTTATTTTTTTTCTTTAAAATGACAATTAAATTATTAAATCAAAATAAATTTAGATAAAATAAAATAAAATAAAATCAGTAAAATTTACTCATCACAAAAATAAATTACAAAATATAATAAATAAGTTTAGTGTGGCCGTAAGGCCTGAATAAATAGAGTTTTCCAAATACAAATTAAGTACAGTGGTGAGTATATAAACTATAGTGGTCCTACATATAAACTATAGATACGGCCGTACATTGCCACAATGACCCTACAATCATATGGCGTGACCACTTTATCAGAGGGTACGCTGTCATCCACGGGGAATAGTCCTCTCCTATTTTTTCAGGCTAGATGGAGGAGAAACAGAATTCTCTCAGAGATAAAAAGTCTAACGAATCATATTTATTTAATACTATGCATGCAATTGTCAATATTCACTTCATATGTTCGTCAAATAACATCATATTCCTTGCATCATCTCTTATCATGCCATTACATTCATTTTATTTACTTATTTACTTACAAGTGTTAGTACGATACAAAACATGTAATATCATGGAATATGTGCATAAATATATTAAATCAATAACAATAATTAAACATGTAACAAGCCATTTCATACTCATGCAATATTTTATTTATTAATCAAAAAATACTCCTTAGAACGTACAAATAAATAACAAGTTTCATTACTGAAAGCTTGAATTTTTTCTAATGCTCTTTTTCTTTTCTTTCTTTCTTTCTCTCTCTCTCCCTCTAGTTCACTGTCTCTCTTGAGAATTGCTTTAGTGAATGAAAAAATGAAGATGAAGTGATGAAGGCATTGTGAGAAGGGTCCCTATTTATAGAAAAAGGGAACCATTGGATCTTCACCAAGTGGCGCAAATCCATGAGGAGAGAGGGAGGGAAAAGTAGATTGATGCAACACGATGACTGACGGACGTGACTGATAGACGACAATGAGACAACAGTGATGCGGCAGTGGCACAAAGACGGAAGACACACTGGCTGAGGGACAGCTCACGCCTCCCAAATGGTGACGAAACACTGGCTGAGAGACAGCTCATGCATCCCAAATGGTGACGACACGCCGGCTGAGCAGTGGCTTACCTCCCCAAGGGGCAGCACATAATGCCTAAGGTGTGGCACGCGCTGCTCAAAGCCTGCTACGCACCTCGTACCCTGCACAGATGGGATGTACGAGAAAGCGCACGTCTGGCTAGCCGCGTGCATGCGTGTGCGTGGCATGTATGGCCCGCGCAGGCAGGGAAAAATTTTCCACGTCTTTTTCACGGGATTTCTTTACCATTTTTCCTCCTTTTTTCCAAATTAAAATTCTCGTGATAATTTCTTAAAATAAATAGAATATATATTCTAAATTAAAATAATTAAATAAAAACGCCAAAATTACTCGAAAATCAAAAACATAATTTAAATAGTTAACGGTTTCAGACCCAAATATATAGAGGTTTACATACATTAAGCGCGAAGGTTCTAGGGTGTTATACCTCGTGTCTCACTCACCTTACAATCTCTAAACTCTAAATCTTCTTTTCTTTAGTTGAGTGGAAAGAATTGACTCCTCTTGAATCAAGATATTGAAGTTTGTCTTTAACACACTTCAAAAAGTCTTAATGGTATCATGTTTTCTCCAAGCTCGAGTTTAAGCACACGAATGAAGATTATATGTAGCTTTTTAATTTTGTGCTAAGTAACTAGGATGCAATTAGCTACTTAAATGTGTCTTAGAATAGAAGCAAAAAAAATGAAACTTAGAGTAAAAAAAGATAATTCTGGATAAGATGTAATGGATTCAGTTAATCCCTATGGAAAGAACCAAGGATGCAACCTAAATGCTAAACTCGATGATGGCTACACTCTAATGAGATGATTTAAGTTTGAGCTCAGTATGTATATGTATGTAAACGATGCACTATGATTAATAATGAAAGCAAGGGAAACACACACCTTTTTGCCTTGAAAATAATATAAATATGGTTGGCTTGATTGATAAAAGATTAGATAAATCAAGCTTGATGCAACAAAATATTCCCGAATTGCATTTTTGATGAGCAATTTTCACATTTTTGTTACTATAATAACAATAAGATCACTCGAATAACAAGAATGATGAATTTTAAGTAATATGAACACAACAAAATATGAACTTTTTACTGGTGATGCTAATCATGCATTACAACAATATATAAGATCATAAATCAAAGATAACAAGATCTATTGGAGCCTAAACTCTATTATCGAATGATGCAGAACTGGGAAACAACAAATGTAGCCCAAATGCACACATACAATTTAGCATAAAAAAACTTAAATTCCTAAATAAACTCTCCCTGTTTAACACACATTCAACTTGAGATTGCAATTAAGGTAATTGGGAAACAAAAAAATAGAATTAAAAGACACTACGAGATTGCCTCGATAAGTAGATTCAATTCTTAAATCAACAAGACAGTTGAAGAAACTTCTCCAAAGAACACTCATAATAGTCAAAGCTAAAGTTTGAAGATAAATTGAATTTTATTAATTTTAAACTAAATGAATTACAACTATAAACTCGTCCTTTTATAGGTAAAAACTAAAAGAATTATAAACAAAATCAAACTCCAAAAATCTAGGAGTATTTCGTTAGATAAGTTTACTTAGATTGATAAGTTTGGAAAATTTATTCCAACATTGGCATAATTCCTTGTGGGGTCAACATTTTACTCGTACACTTCATAACTTGAATGACAAAGGCGCTTACTAATATATTTCTTGTCGCCAGAGTCATAACATGCATTTTTATTTATTCCCTCTCTCACTTTCCATTACTATAACAAGTTTAGTAATGAGTGTAAGAGAGATCTTAATGATATTAGGGTAATGAACTAAAGACGATTGTCATAAAGATAATGAAAATAAAGATGATGATTCTAGTATTAGAGATTATGTGAACCATTCTCATGAAGAGGCTAACTAAGATAAAGTGTTGATTCTTCATCTTGCCTTAATTGAAGTGAAAAAAAAAAAGTATTTTGGTCGAAGGGATAAGGTAGGAAACTTTTTGTCAAGAAGATCTTGTAGTGAAAGTTGAAATTTAATAAATCTAAGGCATATGGCTACCACAAGAGTTTCTTAATTAGCTACATGCCATCAAATGTATCATTGACTTAAAAAGTTTTTCTAAAAATAAAATTGAAGTTAGTTTCTCTTAAACATAGAAAATGCCTCTTCATGGTAGAAGAATTTGGAAAATAAAAGGAAGATAATTTGAAAAGGAAAAAAATTACTCCAAAAAATTATAGAACTGATTTGTTCCTTAAATTCAAACTCATAGTGACAAATTAAATTTGAACTATTATTGAAATTTGATTTGATATAGCCTTAAAAGCAACTACTTAAATGTTACTTAGGACGCTTGAAAAAAGAGATTGGAAATGTTCTTCTATAACCGTACTGGAGTGAGTAAAAGCTTTAAAAATAAAGTAGAGCAATGTAAAGTAAATGATTTAACTAACTATTGTTTAGGAATTAATTATAATAAAAAGAATAAATCTCGTCTCAAGTGTACATATATATATTGAGAATGTTTAGAAAGATATATTAACAGAAAGTAAAATATTATGTTAATAAAATAAAAATATTCTTATATCATATATAATAAATTTTTCTGAGACAACAAAATATACTAATTAGATTAACTAAAACATGCATATGGCTTTTTGTGAATAATGATGCTTCGGACTTTATATGGGAATGTTGTTGATAAGAACTAATATTTTCTAAATAAATCCAAATTCTCTGCCTCCTTCCTAAATGGATTCTAGTGATGCAAGATCAAGAAAATAAAAGCATACCAAGTTAGTGCAGATGATCAAAACCAGAAATTAATAAGTTGATTAAATGACCATGGAAAGAACATGACGGACAAAGAACTCAAACTCATGATTAAATCCAGAAGTCAAACCTACCAAGAAAGGTTAGGTTATTGGTCTACGTCAGTCTCCTTGAGCGCGACACTAGGAATTCTCACTTGCTGTAGAATATCTTATTTCAGTTAAAAGTTATTGCTAGAAGCCTAAGTCCGTCATTAGCACTACCGAAAGATAAGCAGAAGACCCATTTCTTATATCCACTATTCGAATACGTAACATAAAAGTTAAAGAATAGAGCCTATCTTATTAGATTTACCATGCAGTCAAAATAGACAATGAACAATAATATTATTCTATTTTGAGATAACGAAAGTGATATTATTGACCATAGGAAATGGTTTTCCTCTATCTATAAAACAAACAAACAAGATGCAAATTGCTACAGTTTGACTCCGTGAAAGGTGAGAATGTTCGTGTGTTTCAAAGCTCTAGTTTTAAACAAAAAAATAATAATAAAAAGAAAAGGAAATCCTAAGTTTTATAGAAAATCCACTAGTAGCAGTAGCCCCCCAATTCTTCTTCTGCAGTTGTTTGCTAAGTGAATATATCAGCACGTGAATCCGCAATAATTTCTCATGCAACTGTGGGTCCTTTGGCCAGCCCTTCCTCTTTTGTTCTCATCCAAGATTCTCTCTCTCTCTCTCTCTCTCTCTGTGTGTTTTGTTGCGTCTCTTCCTCATCGTTTTTTCTTGTTTATCTACTGCTTGTTCTTTGGCTCTTGGATAACCCGTTAGTTTTCTCTTTCTTTGTTCATAAACAATGGCGAAACAAATGGGAGTTTTGCCATTGATGTTTTCCCTCGCCTTTATGCTGCCGGGTGTTGCTGCTCATGCACTTAACTTGTTGGAAGAGAAGAAGCTGCTCAACCTGCAAAATGTTGAGTGGAACCCGCAGAGAAATGCTCTTAATTGTCTCTCTCACAACTCAAGTGAGTTTTCTCAGCAAATATACACAACTTCTTTCTTACTTTGACTGGGTTGGCTTTTGTGATCTATTAATTGTAGCGATATTGATTAGATATAATTTCCTTATTTAATCTTGTTTTATATATTAAATCTTCTATTGGAACGTTGAAGACAGATTTAGTGATTATAATTTATATATTAAAAAAAAATTTAAAAATTAATGTAAAATTTATAATTTATTTTATTTATTAATTAAAATTTAAATAAAATTTAGTTTTTAATTAAATTTGATCTATATTTATTTTTTAACTAATGAGAGTTTATTTTTTAAAAAAATTAATTTATTTTTATTTTTAAATAATAGTAAATTATTTTTAAAAAATTTAATTTAAATATAAATTTATTTAAAAATATTTTAAATTATTAAAATCAATAAAAAATTAAATTTTTTTCACCTTAAAAAAACGAATATTGGGATTCAGCAATTATCCGGCCCTTGTGTTTGTTTGATAATCACTGCAAACTAATGTCATGTTTTACGGAAACACCCATCATTGTTCTCCATCTCTGTCTCTCCCCTCTTTTACGCAGGGAGCTGTAACCATACTGATAAAGCCTATATGCTGCCTTTTACTTTTTTTTTTATTTTTTTATTTTTTATTTTTTATTTTTTATTTTTTATTTTTAACTTTCAAGAACAAAGTCAGTGGACACAAAATGATGAAGAGTTGGCAAAGCAATCTGGTCCTATCTCTTTTTTGTCATTATATTCTGATTTTCAATAAGAAAATATCTCAAATATCTCCACTTTACCTAAGCTAATTCATCCTTTTTCTCCAATTAGTTTTGTTGTTTCTTTTTAACACAGTTTTTACCCCTGACTGCGTATGAAAGAAAAATATGTTTACCTTAGCAGATATCATCTGAACTAGATTGTTCTTTTCTGGTAATTTAGGGATGAAAAAAGGTGCTACTATACTAGAGATGATGAACCGTGATTACTGCTATGGAAAGATGGTAGACTCGAATAAAAAGCTACAGAAGGACCTAAAGCTGGACGAGCTCCAGGTCCAATCACTTCAATCTCATATCAGAAAGGCGGTTTCTGGCAATATAGAAGATGATTCGAATACTCAAATTCCATTAACTTCTGGTATAAAGCTACAAACTCTAAACTACATTGTGACAATGGAGTTAGGAGGTCGAAATATGACGGTGATTGTCGATACAGGGAGTGACTTGACTTGGATTCAATGTCGTCCCTGCAGATCATGTTACAATCAAAAAGAACCTCTCTATAACCCTTCCACGTCCTCTTCATACCAAATGGTTCTATGCAATTCATCAACCTGCCAATCCCTCCTGTTTGCTACCGGGTATTCAGGAGCGTGTAGTAGTGACCCGACAATGGCCTGTAACTATGTTGTCAGTTATGGTGATGGATCCTACACTCAAGGTGAATTAGGACAGGAACGACTTCGTCTGGGTGGTATTCCAGTAGAGCATTTTGTATTCGGCTGTGGCCGGAACAATAAAGGTCTGTTTGGTGGAGTTTCAGGCCTCATGGGTCTTGGAAGGAGTTCTATCTCTCTGGTTTCTCAGTCTTCTTCAGTTTTTGGGGGAGTTTTCTCTTACTGTTTACCTTCAACACAGAATGGGGCTTCAGGTTCACTAGTTTTGGGAGAAAATTTTTCGGTCTACAAGAATTTAACTCCAATTTATTACACTAGGATGATTCCTAATCCACAGCTCTCCAACTTCTATTTCCTCAATCTCACTGGTATCAGTGTTGGTGGGATAAATTTACGAGCTCCAAGTTTAGGAAAAGGAAGGATTCTGATTGATTCTGGAACAGTTATTACCAGACTGATTCCATCAATCTATAAAGCACTGAAGGCAGAGTTTCTGAAGCAGTTTTCTGGCTTTCCCTCAGCTCCGGGATTTTCGATTCTAGATACTTGCTTTAACCTCAGTGCATATCAGGAAGTGAATATTCCGACGATAAGAATGTACTTCGAGGGAGCAGCTGAACTGGATGTGGATGTGACAGGAATATTTTACTTCGTAAAGATTGATGCATCCCAAGTCTGTTTGGCTCTGGCCAGTCTCTCATATGAAGATGAGATCGGCATAATTGCTAACTATCAGCAGAAGAACCAAAGGATCATATATGACACCAAGCAGTCTAAGTTGGGAATTGCAAGCGAAGCTTGCAGTTTCCCCTAAATAAAGCTAAATAGTTGAAAGTAGGGTGGTTGTGAATATACTCCTCCAACCAAAAGCCGAGATATCTCTTGGCTTAAAATTGTTTCAGCAGGAGTCTTTCAATTGACATAATCTATATAATGTCTAATATATTAACTTATTTTAGCAAAAAAATGTCTAATATATTATCCATTTTGCGAAGCTAAGGACATCCAAAATCCATTATGACCTCAAGAATTTTGTGGTTAATAGTATGTTCCTGATAGAGAGAAAAAAAGAACTGATTGGTATTTGGTTCCTGTAGGATTCACTAGAGCCTGAGAATATTGATATGTTAAAAGGTACAATATCTAGTAGAAAATAATAAGGTTATGCTCATTTGCTCTTTAGTAAAACATTAGCTTCAACAAAATAACTATTCTTCATAGAGTTTCTGAAAAAAATAAATGCAAGCATAGTTCCGTTGTATAGAACAAGTTACAAGGAAGATAAGATGCAGATCACTGACCTTTTATGCAGAGAGGTTTCCAAAAACTAGATTTTTAAAACAACTAATCATCAGAAATCACTCAAAGCATAATAAAGAATGATGCAGCTATTGTTTTGATGCACCAAGTTATTGTTTGAATAGCATATGGTGTCTGTATAAACATTGCGCGAAAATCATGAGGCCAACCTCTGGAATTTCTGGATGTGGCTGCATTCTACTGCCAAGAATGTGTCTGCCTGACAGAATACCAAGAGAATTTTTTTTTCCATTTTTTCCCCTCATAGAAATTATACTAAAAGTAGTTGTATATATAGGCAGTAAGTGCATTTGCAAAACAGGAAAATAGAAACGACTAAGTAATAATTACAATATTTCCAAATAAACTTTGGTTCTTTTAAGGGAAAAAATCACGTGTAGTTTTATTTTTTATAGGCAGAGAAATGGAGCCATTTCATAGAGTGACAGCCCAACTGGGCAGTAGATGCTGAAAGCCCAAGCAATCCCCAGATGGACAGTCGACTAATGAGAAGTTTTTCTTTCTATAAATTTCCAATTGAACCTTTATTATTTGATTATTTTTAATTAAAATTATGCATTTGTTTCACGAGAATTGATTGTTATTAGAACTTTATTATTAAAGAACAAAATTATTAATACTTTAGCTATAGTTTCAATGTGGCATTGTTCTAAATTTTATTTTGTGCAAAAGAAATTGTTATTTGTTTATTTGAATGAATAATCATGCTTGTGAAATGCATTATTCTCCATAAGATTATTAAAGTTTAAAAAATTATACTTAAATTTCATTTATTTATTGATAATTACAAAAAAAGTCATTAAGAATATGTTAAAATGACTTACCAAATAATAAATATATTTTGTTAGAAAGAAAAAAATTCCCACATATAGCAAATAAATTCTGGTGAGAATATTTGACAGATACACTACAGTTAATTGACAATAATTAGGAATGCCTCTCCATGATCATTTTACTGACTATAGAAGTATAAGAAATAGTAGCTGAAATTGTCCAGTCAAGTGTAATTGTCAACTCATATGCAAATTAATCCTCAAATGATTTATCAACTCTATGGTTTTCTAAGGAAGTGAAGCTAAGCTCCCAAAACAGAACAAGTCCTAGTTACCACAAATTTCATTCGAGGGCCACAAAAAAGTTGCATTAGGAGTATACACTTAATTTCAATATCATCGGATTCTTAATTTGAGTTCAGCACCTCAGCAGGATGGATGGATGAAGTTGGATCACTTATGGGCATTAGAAATTGCAATTTAATCGGAATGTTTCTCAACAGGCTCCTTGTGACTTCCCATAGCCCTAGTGGAAACACTGACGTCATTACAAAAATGCTTAATAATTATTAAGTCAAATTTTTTTACAATGCAGCAGTTATCACAGATATATAAAATCGTAACTTATAACCAAATAAAATCTTACACAAAACATGGGACATCCCGAACCCCAAACAATGAGGCATAAGCGTACTCATATCATTCTCAATTAATGGGATCCGCAAAATATTCATATGTTTAAAAGTTTAGAATGGAAGAAAACATATCTTATCATATATACAACACTGATATATACATAACATGAGGTTAAAACATAAAATTTAATAAAATGATGCAATAACAAAAATAAAACTGAATGTACAATAATAAGGCACCCTCACGTGTCCTTCACTCATCCAACACTTGCTCTGAATTCACGTAATTTATAAAATATTATGATAAAATTTAATAAATTTCACGAACTCAGTAAGTATTCCCATTATTCTAATACCCAAATCAGTCAGCATGCAAATACACGCATACATATAATAAATACAATATTAAAAATTCTCAAATAAGAAATTTTTTATAATTTTTCACCATGCTTTTAACTTTATAATCTTTCTATTTAATAACTTATCTTTAACAATTAATTCTTATCTTGAAATTTTACACATTTCACTGGAATGTTACAATTATACTCAAATATCGTCACCGCACTCAAATATTACACTTACATTCAAATATTACATATACAATTGAAATATGATAACTGTACTAAAATTACCACATCTACACTCGGAATATCATACCTAGAGTTTCATTGCGTGATGTTGTTTATATCGTCATCGAGGAGATGCAAAAATGACCCCCTTATCGCATGGATAACACACATATCTCATATTTGCTACAATATATACGTTTGCTAGATGACCCGAACACTCACATATACATATCCATGTCTGAACTAGATTTCATGTCTCTATCCATGTGCAGGTTTACCACAATTGTCAGTGAATTTCAACCACACATACACACACCCTTCT